GTGGCGGTGTTGAAGGGCAGGTTGGATGGGGCTTGGAGCAGCCTGGGCTGGTGGGAGGTGTCCCTGCCCCTGCAGGGGGTTGGGGCTGGATGATCTTTAAAGTCCCTTCCAACCCAAACCATTCCATGATTCTGTAATTCCTCCTGCTCTGCTGCTGGGACCGCAGGCACCTGGCGGACACAGGGAGTGTTCCCCGAGGAGGAGCTGCTGAAGGTGCCCAGGGACATCCCGGTACTTTGTGCTGCCACCCTGAGTGTCAACCCCTGCACAGCCTACCGTGTGCTGGCTGACTTCGAGACCCTGGCACCAGGTAGGGCTCTGCTGGGTGGAAGGAAATCTGGGTGGATTTGCCCCTGGTTTCTGCAATGAAAATGGGGATTTGTTTATATCCAGGTGACTCCATCATCCAGAACGCAGCCAACAGCGGTGTGGGCCAGGCTGTGATCCAGATTGCCAAAGCCTCTGGCATCAAGACCATCAATGTGGTGAGGGACAGGTGGGTCCTCAAGGAGAGGAGAAGATCGCCTCTGGGAGCAGGAGATGCCCTTGGCATGGCCTGGAGGCTGGCAGGAGGGTCAGCAAGTTTGGGAGTTGGATCTTCCCCGCTCAACACAGGATTTTCTTCTCTTTGCTCCTCCAAGATGTCCTCCAGCCTCTGCCCTGTTGTCCCCGAGCTACATTGAGCAGGAGGGTGGAGAAGGTGACACTCTGCTTTCTATCTCATCGAGTCCATCCTTTATTTTTTTTCCTTCTGCAGACCTGATCTCCCAAAGCTGGTGGAGAGGCTGATGGCCCTGGGTGCAGACCATGTCATCACAGAGGAGATGCTAAGAAAGCCAGAGATGAAAGATATATTTAAGGTACCTCAATGCTGATCCCACTGAAGGGACCATGTGGGACTGTCCCTGTGGTTCAGTGCTGTGGAGAAAGGTGCAGGGATGGTGGGAAGGACAAATGTATTCTCAGAGCAGGGTTTAGTCCCAGAAGTTGAGGGGTTTTGCTGCTGCCTCAAGGGCTGGATTGTAGATGTTAGCTCTGTGACTCTTAGCTGCCCCCAGGTTGAGCTTAAGACAACTGCTCAACCCCTCAAGCTCCTTCAAGAACTGCTGTCCCATCAAAAGGAGGCCTAAAATTTGGGAACCTCCTCAATAAACTCTTGCAGAACATCCCGAAGCCCCGGCTCGCCCTGAACTGCGTCGGAGGCAAAAGCACGACGGAGATGCTGCGGCACCTGCAGTAAGTTGGGCTGGGGTGGCCTGGGGACAGCACCCAGCACTGGAGGGTCCTGCTCCAGTGTCCTGGGAGTGCCAGAGGTGGATGAAGACATTAGCTGGTTTTGGTCATCACTGATGTTTTGGAGAGGGGAGATGAGTGGAAGAGAAGTGGGTTTGGAAACTAGAAGTTAACCCCTCATCACTGCGTGTCAAACGCAGCTGAGGTCCAGGTCTGAAGGTCCAACCAGGTATAACTGGTGTATTTAGCTGCAAATTCAGCTCATAGTGTGTGGGAGTGAGAGGGGAGCTCTGGGAAGTGGGGTTTGAGGGGTGACTTGGTGTGAGAATTTAGACATGAGGAGGAAATTCTTGTGTGTTAGGGTGGTGAGAGCCTGGCCCAGGTTGCCCAGGGAAGCTGTGGCTGCCCCATCCCTGGCAGTGTTGAAGGGCAGGTTGGATGGGGCTTGGAGCAACCTGGGCTGGTGGGAGGTGTCCCTGCCCATGCAGGGGGTTGGGGCTGGATGATCTTTAAGGTCCCTTCCAACCCAAACCAGTCTGGGACTCAATGAAAACAGCCCTGTGGGGCCAGTGGTGGGGTTGGGCACGGCAGAGGGAGAGGTGGCAAGGTCACAGCTGCACCTTGGGGACAACATCACCAAGTACCCCCTTTCTCCTGCAGGCCCAAAGGGACCATGGTCACCTATGGGGGGATGGCAAAGCAGCCTGTGATGGTGCCTGTGGTGAGTACTGGAGATGCTCTTGGTTTCCCTCTGGGCATGTCCCCCATGCTCCACTGGGGATGTCCCTGTCCCCTCGGCACTGCGGGAGCTCTGCTCTCCCTGCCTGCACACTGGGAGCCTCCTGCCCGCTTTTTATTTGACCAGTGGGGTCTGTTATGGGATGAGCTGCTTTGCATCCTGGTGAAGGTCTCTTGGCTTTATTTCATAGAATCACAGAATTGTGTTGGTTGGAAAAGACCTTTAAGATAATCAAGTCCAACATTAACCCAACTCCACCAAGTCCACTGCTAATCCATGTCCTCCAGCACTGCATCTACATGACTTTGAAACCCCTCCAGGGATGGAGACTCCACTTTCCCTGGGAAGCCTGGGCCAGAGCCTGACAACCCCTTCCTTGAAGAAATTGTTCCTCATATCCAATCTAAACCTGCCCTGGTGCAACTTGGGGCTGTTTCCTCTTGTTGTATCACTTGTTCCTTGGGAGAAGAGACCAACCTCCCTGGCTCCAACCTCCTCTCAGGCAGTTGCAGCGCCAGAAGGTCTCCTCTCAGCCTCCTGTGCTCCAAACCAAGCACCCTCAGCTCTCTCAGTTGCTCCTCATTAAGACTTGTTCTTAAGACCCTTGAACAGCTTGGCCACCCTCCCCTGTTCCCCTCCAGCACCTCAGTGTCCTCATACTGTGGTGCCCAGAACTGATCCCAGCACTCAAGGAAGATGAAAGCTGCAGATGCATCAAATCCACCCTGACTCCACACCTCGAGGTCACACCTCCACATGCCCACTGTGCACAAACAAGAGCGTTGAGGAAGGAGTGAGGATCCTCAGTGCCACCTTCCCTGCTGCCACTCTGGGAGGGGACCCAGGGGTCTCACCATAACTCCCTCTCTCCTCAGAGTGCCTTCATCTTCCGGGACGTGCGGCTCCGTGGCTTCTGGATGACCCAGTGGAGGAAGGAGCACGCTCAGGGTGAGCAGGATGGGTGCTGAGGGATGGTAGGTCAGCACAGGAGCAGGTGCCAACCCACCATGCTGGTGCTGTCCTCTTTGCTCCCACTTGTGGCCTGAGTTCTGATAGTCCTCAGGGCAGCTGGAATGCAGGCACTGGGTGGTGTGGCTTAGGCAGGGACAGCAGAGTGCCTCCATGCTGGGGACTCTTCCCCATCCCACCCACCTGAGCTGGGAGCACCTCACACCCTGGTGTCTTAAGGACACTGGATGGCTTCAGGTGGGTCTTTGGCTTGGTGTGGTGGTTGACCCTGGCATAGCCTGGGAAGTGCTGTGGTGAGAGGTCTCTCCTTGGAGCAGCTCTGCTCTGGAGACAGACTGAGAGTTGGGGTGTTCAGCCTGGAGAAAAGAAGGCTCCAGGGAGACCTTAGAGCACCTTCCAGTGCCTGAAGGGGCTCCAGGAAAGCTGGGGAGGGACTTGGGACAAGGGCAGGGAGGGAGAGGACAAGGGGGATGGATTGAAACTGGCAGAGGGGAGATTGAGGTTGGACATGAGGAGGAAATTGTTGGGTGTGAGGGTGGTGAGAGCCTGGCCCAGGTTGCCCAGGGAAGCTGTGGCTGCCCCATCCCTGGCAGTGTTGAAGGGCAGGTTGGATGGGGCTTGGAGCAACCTGGGCTGGTGGGAGGGGTCCCTGCCCATGCAGGGGGTTGGGACTGGATGATCTTTAGGTCCCTTCTGTCCCAGACTAGTCTGGGATCCTGTGATTCCTCCCTGTAGACCCCCAGGTCCTGGCCAGCATGATGGACGCCCTGTTCCAGCTCATCCGCAGAGGACAGCTCAGCGCCCCGGCCTGCACTCAGGTCCCTCTCCAGGACTACAAGGCAGCACTAGAAGCTGCCATGAAGCCCTTCACGTCCTCCAAGCAGATCCTCCTCTTCTGACCAGCAGCTCATGGGCCAAGCCTAGAGCTGCTCCACCCCGGCCAAGCTTTCCCTCGCTGCCTTGTCTGCAGGCAAGAGATGCTGGAGGGGGGAAAAACCTCCCAATCCGTTGACATTTTTTGTTTTGTTTTTTAACTTCTGGATGCCCATTGCAAGTTCTCAAAGCCCTTGCAGCTTTGCTGGACACCAATGTGTGTAATTGCTTCTGGAGGGAGGCTGCATCCTCGCTTTAGCTGGGGTGAGTCTGGGGGCAAGGGGAAGCTCAGGGAGCCTGGGGGAGAGAGGCCAGCTCAGCTCAGGGTGTCCAAAGAGCAGCAGTTCCCCCTCACATGTGTTCTTGGGGCTGCACCACCAACTCCTGCCCGCTGTCAGTCTTGTCCTGCTGTTTGCTCTCCCTGCAGGTGATTTGTGGCTGCTTTTGGGTGACTTTGCAGGGCAGCAGGGGACTGGGCACTGTCTTTCTCCCACCAGCACAAACCCCCTGCGCTGCTGCAGCCTCTGAGCCACCTCCCTGTTCCCCTCCACGATCAGCAGCCCAGTTCCCGAAGGCTGGGGACAGTCCCCATATTGCATTGCAGAGAAAACAACAATCCTTACACTTTATTTTATCTAATTTGGTTTTTATTTTCTCCTGGCCAGCCCATCTAATGCTGGCAGGACAGAGGCAGGGGGACACCCACACACGCTGGGGGGACAAGGACACAGGATTTTTCCAGCCCTTGGCATCACTTCTCAAAAATTAGCTCCAACAGCCCAAAATAAAAAACAGAAGTACCAAGTTACCAACTGCCAGGCAGCTCTGCCACACCAATGAGAACTGTGAGACACCACAGGTGTCATTGTCCCCTCAGGGACAGCCCTGGGGTGGTGGCATTTGAGGTGGGGACAGGACTCACCCAGCATGTCCCAGCTGTGGAAGGGGGTAGGAGATTTTTGGAATGCCTGAATGAATTGAATACTTGAATTCAGTTTTGCTGCTGTTGCTGCTGCCACTACTGATTGTGATGAGAACCTCCTGGAAATCAATGTCTAAAATGTCTATTTTTTTAAGAAGATGCCAATAAATGTTTCTGTGCTCAGTTGGACACGTGAGAGTGGTGCATGGAGTTCCTGTCGGGCAACAAAGTGTCCCAGACTTTAAGTTTTCCCCTTGTGAGCCTTCCCCCTGTTCAGAAGTGCCCACACTTTCCTACATGGAATAACCCAGCTCTGGGATTTCAGTGGAGCTTCTGTGGTGTCCAAGTACCCAGGAGATGCTCCCAGCAGGATCCCCCTGCTGCTCCCTAGAATGAAGTAGAATCATAGAATCATGGAATGGTTTGGGTTTGAAGGACCTTCAAGACCATCTAGATCCAACCCCCTGCATGGGCAGGGACACCTCCCACCAGAGCAGGTTGCTCCAAGCCCCATCCATCCTGCCCTTTCAGACTCAATCCAGTTGTTTTCATTCCCACAGGGACTTTCCAAGTGCAGCTGGTGGAGAAGGGGAAACACCCTCCCTGCTCCACCACTGCCTTTGGCTGATGGCACCAAGGAGCCCCAAGCAGCACATCTACCTCCCCAAAGGGTGACGTGGTGGAAACCACCAATATGTAAACCCACTGCTGCAGGGGGTGGAGTCTTGCCCCTTTTTTGGGTGGGAAATGAGGGAGTTGAGCATCATGCCTTCATTTCTATGCATTTTATGGCTCCTGGGAGGTTAGGAGAAGGGAAGTGGGACAGGGACATTGTTCAAGCAGGCTCCTCTACAACTTGGTGTGTTTTGGAAGAACAAAACACCCTGAAATCAAAACTCACAGCCTGTGGTAGCAGCTACATTTGCTGAGCCCCTTTCAAAGCCATTTTATTCTCCTGTGACCCCAACCACCGAGACCTCCCTTTGACAAGAGCAAACCAAGATCCAACTGGGATAAACCCCTTGCTAGCACCTCTGCTCTGCTCTCCCATCACTATTGAACACCCCAATATTTTGAATTTGCTTTGTCCCCCCAGCAAAGCTCCTGGTGCTGGAGGCAGAGCAGCACCACGTGCCCCAGAGCTTTCCTGATCCATGGATGAAGTGGGGAAAAAGGCAAGAAAAGGATGGTGGGATTAAGAGCCCTGTTAAGCTTGATATAAAACAGAAACATTAATGCAAAGCTTTTCTCCCCTTGTTTATTTGCCTCAGCAGTAAAACCTAACAAGGTTTAGAGAACACTCTTTACTGTCACAAAATGTTCCCGAGCACTCACTCCTACACCAGGGTAAGAAGGAATAAATCATTAAATTTAACTTCACTTGTCAAACAATTGGGATCATGGTTGGGAATCCAGATGCTGGAGTTGCAGCTACACAGTTTTGGTTTTCTTTGGGAGGGTGATGGCTGGGTTGGGTGGGGTGGGGTTTTTTTGGGGGGTGGTGGCTGCTAAAGCTGAAGTGTTCCCCAAGAGCCTCTGCTGGGGTTTGGTGTGATACAGTCAAGGAATGGGATAAACAATAGTCCCCAAAAATCCCACCTGGGGAGCTGCAAGAGGGATGTCACTGCTCAGCTGTGGGAATGAGGAAGGGCTAAGCGTGGCCAGGGATGGCGGGGTGTCCCCAGGGAAGGGGGGGATGCTATAGGGGGACCCTGTGCACCCCAGAGTGTGGGAATGGGGGACCCGTGTTGGGGGAAGGAGGAGCCCATCAGTATCCAGCATGTGGGGAAGGGAGACCCCACAAGTCTCTGCCATATAGGGGCTCCCCCCTCACCAGTCCTATGCCTAGCATTTGGGGAGGGCAGGCCCCACAAATCCCCTGGCCCATGGGAAGGGGAAACCCCATCATTGTCATGTCCATGGGGAAGGGGATGGCCCCACAAGATCCCCAGCCAGACCCCAAGGGACACGGGTTGTCAGTGGCCTTGGCAGTGCTGGGTTAATGGTTGGTCTGGGTGGTCTTAAAGGTCTTTTCCAAACAAAACCATTCAGTGAGTTTATGAAGGAGGAGCCCAACAATACCCAGTGTATGGGGAGGGGGGGCCCATAAGTGCCCAGACCCACGGAGCAGCTCTGGAGCCAGGCTGGGAGAGTTGGGGTTTCAGCCTAGAAGAGAAGGCTCCAGGGAAACCTTAGAGCACCTTCCAGTGCCTGAAGGGGCTCCAGGAAGCTGGGGAGGGGCTTTTCATCCAAGAAGATAGTGATAGGGCAAGGGGCAATGGCTTTAAACTGAGAGAGGGGAGATTTA